TCATCTGTTGGGAGTTTCAGAGTAAAGAGATAAAAGTAAAGATTCTTATTAGGGAAATCCTGGGGCCTGCCTGGACACCTCCATGTTAGCCATATGGAAGTTGTTTGTCGTTGCCATTTTCTAGAATTTGTTTAATGTCCCAGTTTAGCTTATAGTCCTGAGAAATTATGGGGATCATTCTTCCAGGTCTAACTAACTCTGCTTAGCTTTGGGGGAATCAGCCAGATGGTACCACTTGCTATGAGAAAATGTGAGATAACGAGAATTCTCTTCTTAAATTGGCCAAAACAATAATAATTGAATAGGATGTTTGATCTAATGCACTAAATTGGCATGCAAGGAATTCATTCTTCAAAATAATTGTAAATAATTACATTTTCTAGATTAATGTACCCAATGGAGCCCTGATATAGTATTTTTTACTAGAAAAACAACACGAACAGCATTGATTAGGCTAATTTAAACAAAGATCAGAATTGTGCAAGTCATACATCATCCCTTATGACATTTTATGGAAGTGAAAGTTAGATTTTGAAGCAGGAAAGGAGGAGAATTGATGTCTTTGAACTTTGGTGTTGGGAGAAGATTCCTGAGAGCACCATGGACAGCCAAGAAAACAAACAAATGGATCATTGAACAAATCAATCCAGAATTTTCACTGGGCACAAATGAGCAGGCTTAAATTATCCTGTTTCAGACACATAATGTAAAGTCCCAGCGCTCTGGAGAAGGGTCTAGTGCTGGGAAAGATGAAGGGAAAGAGAAGAAGAGCAGCAAGATGGATGGATTCAGTTATAGTAGCCTTGAGTGCACGGTTGGAAATGTCAAAGGACCAGGTTTGGGGCAGATCATCAAGGAGAAGATCAATCTATGCAGTCACTAAACAACAATGACTTCATGGGATGTAATCAAATTATTGAAACCAGGGGTGTCAAACCTTGGCAATTTTAAGACCTGTGGACTTCAACTTCCAGAATTCCCAGCCAGTTGAAGTCCACAAGTCTTAAAGTTACCAAGGCTGGACACCCCTGACTTAAACCAAAAATCACTGAAGCAGATGTTTAACTCTTTTTCCATCTCTCTGCTCTATTCCCACTTCTCCAAATATAGGAAGCAGCCACATCACCTGTAACAATATCCATTTAATGTGTCTCATATTTATGCAGCAAGATTTCAGGAGGAGCCCTGGTGGCACAGTGGTTAGAATGCAGTATTGCAAGCTAACTCTGCCCACAACCTGGAGTTCGATCCTGACTAGCTTGAAGTTGTAAACCTAAAATGAGGACCCAGATTGTTAGGGGCAGTATGCTGACATTGTAAACAACCTAGAGAGTGCTGTAAAGCACTATGGGGCAGTATATAAGTCTAAGTGCTATTGCTATATCCTCCAAACTGCTCACCTTTCAGTCATCAAATCTCACTGACAAAGCCAGCTTTCTGAAATTGCATTTCTTTAACTGTCTGGGGAACTTTTCCAAGAAGGCATCTGTATTCAGGAGTGATGGATCTTGTGCCAAGATTAAAACAGGGAGAAGAGTAACAAAGTGGTTCACCTCTTTGTCTCTATAAACAATCCACATAACTTACAAATTATGACCCTCAACTGTTACAAGAACAAGTGTTCTATCCAAGGTGGAAAGAGAAGAGATTTATAGCTCCCAAGTGGCACCGAACCCTGATTAATAAATGATTTCCTTCCTTTATTTCATCTCTGCCCCAGCAAGTTCTGGATTTTTTAATTATTCATTATTTCCCAAGAAAACATGTTAATCTCCCAGGGGAAAAAAAAACCCTGTCCCAAATAAACAAGGTAGGGATATAGAGTAACTTATGAGAATGAGGTGGGAGATTAGAATTGTATTGTTCCTCCAAGAGGAAAACCATTTATTATTACGAGGGGTGGGGGGAAAGAGGGTTCATTAAACAAAATTAACAAAATTAAGACTTGTACTCCTGAGCAACCAAGATTCATTCACAGCTATGCTTTTTAATTTCCGGAAAAGGATGATCATTGCTATAAAAATATTTTAAAAAGAAAAGCACAGTAAAGCTTTTTACAGAATTACAGACAACATAAATGTATCATAGAGCACATTCCCATATGCTAAACCTGGCATTTCATAACACCTCCTCCTCTTCAACTGGTAAAAGCTCATTTTAAATTGATTTAATAGAAAAAAAAAGAAATCCCACAACAACCATGATGGTGGAAAATACTTATCCAGATTTTGTTACTGGCCCCATCACTTCTGGCTGTCTGATTGTTTGGGCTCTTTATAAGCTGCCATCTCTGGATTTCATTAGAATAGAATAGAATAGAATAGAATAGAATAGAATAGAACAGAATATAGAATAGAATATAGAACAGGAATAGAATAGAATAGAATAGAATAGAATAGAATAGAATAGAATAGAATAGAATAGAATAGAATATAGAATAGAATAGAATAGAATAGAATAGAATAGAATAGAACAGAACAGAACAGAACAGAATAGAATAGAATATAGAATAGAATATAGAACAGGAATAGAATAGAATAGAATATAGAATAGAATAGAATAGAATAGAATAGAATAGAATAGAATAGAATAGAATCTGGAAGGGACCTTGGAGGTCTTCTAGTCCAGCCCCCTACTCAAGCAGGAGGATCTATACCATTTCAGACAAGTGACTGTTGACTCTAGCCTCTTCTTAAAAAACCTCCAGTGATGGAGCGCCCACGATTTCTGGAGGCAAGCTGTTCCACTGGTTAATTGTCCTCACTCTCAGGATGTTTCTCTAAACCAATTTATGTGATGCTTAACACCCAGTTCACACATTCAAAAATATGTTAGCCTTTCTTCATTTCTGCTTTTCCAGTGTTTGCTGTGGAAAAGGGGGAAAGGAAAAATTTCCGCACAGAAGAAAACAAAAGCTAGTGTGAGCACTAATGTAATGTTGCACAGCTGCTATGCTTAGGAGAAGACTGTAAGCGTATTTTACATTGGCAAACTGATGTGAGAAGGGAGCACAGAACAAAGCACACCAGTTGCTTCACAACGGGGATACTCTGGGATTATAAGAGGAACAGGTTTTCAGTCCACCCAAAAGGGATAAAGGTTTCTCTTTGACAGTGGTATGGTGAGAGACCTGGTTAAGGTTCTTGACAACAAGAAGAGTTTTTGACAGTAAGAACAAATCAACCAGTGGAACAGCTTGCCTTCAAAAGTTGTGGGTGTTCCAACATTGGAGGCTTTTAAGAAGGAACTGGACAACCATTTGTCTAAAATGATAGAGTTTCCTACTTGAGCAGGAGGTTGGACTAGAAGACCTCCAAGATCCCTTCTAACTCTGTTATTCTGGTTTCCTCAAATTAGAAAGTTCTGAATCCTGATCTGCCTTCCCTACATGATTATCCTAGAAAAACATCCTATTCTGAGAATCTGGGCCATTTTGGTAATGCAGTCTAAGTACGTATTTCCATTTGCTTTGCTTTGTCCTTTAGTATCTGATTATTTCATATTTTATCCTCTGACCCATTATTATAATTTTCTTTGTAGAAACCTTGTTGAGTTTTTATCTGCCTGCAAAGCACCATGGAAATAAGCACAAGCTAAACCTAGATATATAATTATTCAGCAGCATAGGAAAAAGACGATCGTGATGCACAAACGTATTTTCTTTATACGGTTTGCACAGGAATTAAATTTTCTTTACACAGTTTGCACAGGAATTAAACGTCAGGTGTCACCTTTAAATCATTTTTCACATCTTGGTATGAAATTTGGTTTGCAAGGTTAGCACTGAATTAAATCAAATGCCTTGGCAGTTAAGGCTACTCAGCAGCAGATTGAGAATAGAGCTATCTCCCTGTATTGTCTAAAATTAAAGAAGCTGACAACACAATAAGAAAAAATATTCACAAAGCAGAAGAACATCTATCCTAGCTGCAGGAAATAAATGGAAAAATCCATATTGCTATGGATTACACCTTCAAAAGCAAATAGTACAACTATTGAGAGTTAGAATTATTCACCACCTTTCTGAAATTGTCTCTCCTCAGTCCCAAAAGCCACTATCCTATAATTATTTCCTTGGAAATAATTTCCCTGAACTCAGTGGCACTACTAAGTAATTATGTATAGGATTTCACTATGGTTATACTCATACGCATCACGAAGTCAACACTGGACAAGTACTGGTGAATAATAAAAAAAGACTTTCCTATAAGAACCACCTGCTAAAAGCAAAACAAGAAAACATTCTAAATCTTGAAAGCAAGCTTCTAAAAAATAGAATTCTTACAAATCAGTGAGAGCAACCTCACTTCATGAGTTTTAGATATGGAAAAAGGTTTCTTTATTATCACTTCCTTACTAATATTGCCTTTTTTTCTCATAAATATATGATACCTTTATAATACAAAATATTTATGAGATGCTGTACAGTATTTATTTTATCAGTGTTTTACCCTAAGGTTGGGGATGCATATAGACCATCCAGGCTACCTCAAAGGGGGCGTTTACAAGGTCAATTCCTGCAGATTTGTTAGCTTTGAGCTACCCTTTTGTCTAAATAATCCCAGCAAATTATAAAATTAATCAGGATTCATGCTGTGACCAGGCCCGTTGAGGAGTAAAAACCTGAGATTTTAATCTGTTAGGAAAAGCACCAAAAACAGAATAGACTTATTTAACCTGGATGAATCAGTTGCAAGAGTTTCATTTTTCAAATGCTTCTAAAGAATGAATGATATTCTTGCAACAAAACTGGAAGTTTTTAACTTACCGAATCTAGCCAGTCCTTTTGCACCAGTAAGCCAAAAATAATAACAATAACAATAATAATTCTACAGTAATGCTTCCCCCCACCTTCTTAAACAGGCACTCCATTATGAATGAATTTTCCTGAGGAACAGACCCCCCTCTAAAAGAATCCGAAATTGCACGAATTGCATGAAAACAAGACAATCTTACCTCATGGAGGAAAATGCTTAAAAAAAAAGAAAAAAGAAACGTACCCCAGATCAGAGTATACAGATGGGCCTTGGGAATGAGAAGAAGGGAATACACAGCCCCAATGTGAAGCAAGGCCATTAGGATGACATTCCTCCACACAATTATTTGCTTGAGTTCCACTTTCTGCTTGTTTTCTTCTTCTCTTGATCCAAAAGGGCTCTTTTCGGCTTGTCCATTGCAGGACATGTCTGTCTCTCCATCCCTCATGCTCTTGGTTCCCAGCTTGGACATGACGGCCCAGAAGAATACCACACTCGGTGGTGGACCTTCACGGACTGCAAACGCCGGTAGAAATTCTTGCTTTGATTGAGGGACTGGAAAGGCAGGGGGGAAAAACAGGGGGACGAAAGCCTACGATTCCTTTTTGTTCTAGGGGTCGGGCTTCCGTTTCTCTTTCCCCTCCCTTCCTTGCCTTTCTCCCTTCCTCTTCTTTTCTTTCCCAGGACTGTTGTTCAAAGGTGTCTAGGGATGCGCGGCTTGGAGTCGAACAGCTGTTGCCAGCATATTATCCATGCTGCTGCTGCTGTGGCAAAGCTGAAATCCTCACAGTAATGAAAAACTGGGGAGGGGGGCAGGGGAGAAGGAAAGAGAGAGAGAGAGAAAAAGAATGGGAGAAAAACCCTGCATAGCTACAGCCAATCATAGGCGTGCTCTTAAAGAGATCCAAAGGGATGGAGGGAGGGATGGAGGGATGGAGAGCAAGCAGTGCAGAATCCCTGCCTTCTGCTGCTGCTGCTGCTGCTGGTGGTGATACCTATCGGTGAAGCTGCATGGACAGGAATTCTCCAGCTCTGACAAAGAAGAAAGCCGTGCAGATATTCCCGATGCAACTGGAATCAGAGGGGGAGAAGATCGGTTTGGGATGAGGAATAGCCCAAGGCATTTGGGGCTTGGTGTGCAAACCATGGTTAAAACCGAAAGAGATGAGGGTGATCAGTGAAGCCAGATTCTGAATGGGGTAGGGTTATGTGTAGGTCTGCCAAAGGAGACAAGAGTGGAATATACTATTAGTACATTTTGTACCTTTGTAGTTTGCAAGAAAGGTCTTTGCTATTCGGATCAAAGCAATCACAATTCAGATGCAGGGATCTATCATTCTCTCTCTCTCTCTCTCTCTCTCTCTCTCTCTCTCTCTCTCTCTCTCTGTCTCTCTCTCTATCTCTCTATCTATCTATAGCATCTCTATCTCTATCATCTATCTATCTATCTATCTATCTATCTCTATCTATATCTATCTATCTATATCATCTCTATCTATCTATATCATCTGTCTATCATCTCTATCTATCTATCTCTATCATCTATCTATTTATCTTTATTTTTCTATCTTTCATCTATCTTTCATCTCTCACTATCTCTCTATCTCTATCATCTATCTATTTATCCTTCTATCTATCTATCTATCTATCATCTATCATCTATCTATCTATATATCTCATCTATCTATCATCTATTTCTCACCTATCTATATCTATCTTTCATCTCTCTATCTTTTATCTCTATCTTTTATCTATCTATCTATCTATCTATCTATCTATCTATCTATCTATCTATCTATCTATCTATCTATCTATCTATCATTTCTCTCATCTCTATCTATCTATCTATCTATCTATCTATCTATCTATCTATCTATCTATCTATCTATCTATCTATCTATCTATCTATCTATCTATCTATCTATGTGTTATATTATTTTATAAGAATTCCAATGAAACACTGAAGAACCAACATGCTATACCCATATTCCCCAGTTTAGGATTTCCCAATTGCTTTGAACCATGATTATAAATATGTCATCATGACAAATTCAATATCTACAGGGGCACCAAGCTCAGAGAAGCTGATTTAAGCTCTTATGAAGCAGGTAGATAAGGAGAGCAGCTGAAAATAATCCGTAATGCAAGATGTTTAACAGCTTTTCCCAACCCATTATCCTCCAAACATTTTGTTCTACAGCTTCCATTGTCCTAGGCATCAAGACAGTTGGAGGATTATCTGAATTATTGTCTGGGAAAAGAAATCCTGTAGTTTATCTTTCAGTTTAAAAGACATCAATAGAATACAACATCTTGAATGGCTCATACTTCATATTAAATCCCAAATTAATATCATTTTTTTTTCCGGTGCCCTGGAGACAGTTTTTGATTCCTGTTAACTGCATGGGCCAGCTACCATACTATTAAAAAAGAGTTTGCATCAGGTTTTGGAATACTGTAATTTAGAAACAAGCCTCCTTAGTCAGGAGGAAGCCTTGCTGAACTTGAATGTGATTACTCAACTACTCTTCAGTAGATTTATATAGATGGTGATACTTGATGTCTTCCCATTTTGTACATCCCACACACTTCATTTATCCAAATTCTTACTAAAGTCTATCTGATCCCAATGTCACTTTAATTAAAACCTCAAATTAGACAAGACACGGATGAGATGCTGCAAGAGAAGAGAATAATCAATCTCAATTATATATATAAAACAGCTTGTGGAAAGGAGGGAAGCAATCTGTTTCAGATGTCCTTGATGTCAGATATGAACCGAGGATATAAGATAGCTTTTCTCAAGCTGTTGCTGACCTTAGCCTCCAGATTGTAGTTCCAGCAGATTGAACAGGCTACTTTTAACACAATGCAGGAACAGTTTCATCTTGGTTTCTGTTTGTCAAAATCAGACCAAGGTCAAAGAAAAAGCTGAAAGAAAAAGAGAGACAAAGATTTCTCACAGCTCCATGTCCTACATCAGTCTTCACTATGCGGTCCAGATATCCTTGGCATCTTTAGCCTGCAGCTAAAGCAGGTTCTTTGTAACAACAAAAAGGATGAGTAAGAAATCCTATACAGGTACAGTATAGATCAGGGCTTTTCAACCTTTTCACCCATCGTACCACTTTTAGGATATGGCAGTATCCGAGTACCACCAGTCGCCTAGCAAGCTGTCAAAAACTTGATGACCCCCCCCCAAAAAAGGAAAAAAGTGATGAAGTACAGGTAGTCCTCGACTTACAACAGTTCGCTTAGTGACTGTTCGAAGTTACAATGGCACTGAAAAAAGTGCCCCCCAAATCACAGCCGAGCAAGACACCTGCCGCCCGCCCGGCGGCGCTCTTCCTCCTGTCTGAGGTTTTCATGGTTGTGAGCATTTCTGTGGAGATTGGCAGTGGGGGTGGAGTGGGGGGGTGTTTGGTTTTTATTCCCCCCCGTCTGCTGGGTGGTTGCAGCAGGTTTTGGTCACTTCACATGACCCTGGGACACTGTGACCGTCATAAATATGAATCAGTTGCCAAGCATCTGAATGTAAATCACAAGACCCTGGAGATGCTGCAACATTCTAGCAGATCGGAGCTTCTCCTGGGCTCAGCAAAAGCACCAGGATCAGCGCCGAGCTCCAGCTGGAGCCTGGTGCTGATCCTGGTGCTTCCGCTGCCCTGACAGTCCCGAAGAAGCACTGATCCTGGCACTTCCGCTGAGTCCTGACAGCCCTGCAGCTCCAGCCATCTCTTGCTCAGGCTTGTGCGGTGCTGCCACCGGTTCAGCTCATTCCCCTCCCCCACTACCGCTTTTCTAGGATGGTCGCGTACCACCTGCCAATGTACCACAGGTGGTACCCATACCACTGGTTGAAAAGCCCTGGTATAGATGTTACCTTGCTCAATAGTAGTAAAGATGCATCTCTTCCACTAGGCTTTTCAGGTGTTCAGTAAAGTAGATACAAAAATAACTTTTGGAAAAGGTTTTTTGCTTTATTTAACCAGTATTAGTCATCTGAGTACTCATTTAAAGAGATTCAAAATCTTTCCTCCCTGGATTTTGTCTTTCTTGTTCAGAGACACTGTGCTAATATTTAAGGACTCCTGCACAATTCTGCAGTTTTTTTCCAAGGGCATTGTGTAGACTACACAGTGGTCTTTAGATTGCATGGCCTATGTTTACTTCCGAATCCAAGGGCCACTGATAATCACCAAAACTAGCTCAGAGCTATAATCTATCTTTTCCAGATCAGGGATCATCTTATAGCCCAGTTTTTACTTTTCCTTGTCTATAGTATTCATACAGTTGCAACTCTCTTTAAACCATGCTAACAACAGAAGGCCAAAGATTTATTTAGGACCACTTTTCCTAACCTCCAACTGATCAGATTTTCTAGAATAGAAGATGCACAATCTGGGTCCCATTCAATTCCCATTTTTACAGTAGGAACAGCTATTTTCTGCACTGCTTCTTGCTGAGGCTGCTGCGTTAAAAGAATTTTTAATGACTTGTCCCTTTTTTTTCTTCTTCAAAAAAATCAATTTTAATCCACTTTTCTCTTTAAATGAGTACTCAGATGACTAATACTGGTTAAATAAAGCAAAAAAAACCTTTTCCAAATGTTATTTTTGTATCTACTTTACTGAACACCTGAAAAGCCTAGTGGAAGAGATGCATCTTTACAGATTTTCTAAGAATAGAATAGGGCCCAAATACAATTCCCAAGGCTTCTGACTAGCTCATTGCTGCCATTGTTAGGTTTTTGATGTTTTGATAACTTGGTGATTTTCTTGCAACTATTTCATTATCCCAACAGTTCAGCTCTGTGCTGTGCATTCTCTATTGGAAGTATTGTTCTAATCAACCATTCAAAAAATGTGTGGTTTCTTGAAATCTAAATAAACTCCTTGAAGCTAAGCTTCAACTACCAAATATAGCTGGGGGAAAAATAAGGTTTTTTTTTTAAAAGCAGTGGAAGCTTTTAGGTTTAAATCCATCTAGGAATAAGATGACAATATGAGGAGGATTTTCATTCTTTGGATTGCAGTAGTAAGTCAAGATTTGAAACTATCTGGAAAGCCATGGAATTTAAATAGACAAAACCTCTTTGACATATAAAGAAGCATGCACAATTTTTCCAAAATGGTGTACCATGGATACCTCTGGATTTCTATATGAGGGCACATTTTTATGATCCTGCATTGCATCCCTCACTCTACTTGTAGGGTTGTAACACAATTAGAATTAGACTGCATCTCTTTGGGATCTGTGCAGACTGTGTTGCTAAGATGCTGGCAATTTGTATGTGTTCAGACACAGATTGAATCTATACTTCATGATTTATTAAAATGTCTGCCTTATACACAATGGTGACTAAGGCTTATAAACCCAATTATTACAAAGTATAATTTCCCTCACGATGAAGGGATTACCGTTTTATGTAATCAATTACTAAATATATCAAAGGCAGTAGCAACGTTTCTCTCTAGGTTTAGCTTACACGAATCACCTGATGCTTCCCTGAAATAGTCTTTGGCTTTTATGTAATTTATTTATCTGATTTCCTCCCCTGAACTACCGTATATATTTTAATGTTTGAGAGTTTGATCTTGGACTGTAAATTAATCAATATACAGTATACATTTTTGTAACGCTGCACAGAATCATGAAAAATAGGCCAACTCCCTAGTATTTAATCTGAATATCGCTTATTGTCCTCTCAAACATGAAGGGATTGCTTAATTGGCCAACATCTCATGAAGATCCAACGTGTCCAAACATAAAATATCAGAAGAAATGATGAATCCAACAGCACGATTCTATCACTGATATCATCAATACAATAATCCGTTTAAAACAGCCTTTGTGTAATTTTGACACGAAGTCTGAGGTACTGAACCTGAACTGAAATAAGGTTGAAGTTTAATTTTGAGAAAGTACTTTTTATTTATTTTTATTTTATTTGTTTGTATCCCATCTTTGTTATGTTTACAAAGAACTCAAGGCAGAAAACATATCCAACACTCCTTCTTCCTCCTATTTTCCCCACAACGTTATGAGTTGAGTTGGCATTCATGGCTAAGGCAGGACTAGAACTCAGTCTACTGGTGATTGGCCCAAGGTCACCCAGCTGGCATTCATGGCTAAGGCAGGACTAGAACTCTCAGTCCCCTAGTGATTGGCCCAAAGTCACCCAACCAGCTTTCATGGCTAAGGCAGGACTAGAACTCTCAGTCCCCTAGTGATTGGCCCAAAGTCACCCAACCAGCTTTCATGGCTAAGGCAGGACTAGAACTCTCAGTCCTCTAGTGAGTGGCCCAAAATCACCCAACCAGCTTTCATGGCTAAGGCAGGACTAGAACTCACGATCTTCTGCTTTCTAGCCTGATATCTAAATAAGCAGTCACGTGGCCCCAAAAAACCATTACATGAATTAAAATTTCAGCTGATTATAATCGAAACAACAATGGATGCTTAAAAAGAATAAGTCAGCACACATGTAAAATAGAATCTGGAACTTTTAATTGGTTGATAATGAGACTTGTGGAAGGAATTTCTTTCGACGATGGCTGCCTCACACTCTCTCTCTTTACAGTATTTAAAAGCCACTTTCAAAGCAGCAGATACCATGCATTTAAAATGGACGATATGGAAGGGGTGGCATAATTAAATACAATATCTGTAGGTAGAAATAATAAAAAAAGAGAAGAGAAAGAATAAGCACCAGAGCTCACGAGCCCTTCTAAAATGGAGCTCCTCTGGCAGGGACACTGCCGTGACTTGCTCTCTACCGCATCATGCTCTAAAGGGACAGAATATGGAAACACGTCATGCAGCCTTCCACAGCTCTATGACTTCGACCGAAGCCTACTTTAGACTCCAAGCTTGTTGGCTTGAGTGAGGACTACTTTCAGCACGGGCATGAAAGCTGACGTTTCGCTGAAGTTACTTGTGCTGACGATGTGAGTGTGGATGTTCAGCCCCTCGGTGTAGTTCCGGGTTTCAATGCTCCTGGCAATGTTGTGCAAGCCGTTGATTATCATTGGAGAGAGCTGGAGAAGAAGGGAAAATAAACATGAGAACCGTCTTTAACACAATGATTGTTTTTCCCAACCTGGGCCTGTTTGGGCGTCAAGGACTTTCCAAATTGATGTGTTAGAGCAGTGGTTCTCAACCTTTTTAATGCCGCGACCCCAACCAGTCGTAAGTCGAGGACTAAACCGGTCGTAAGTTGAGGACTAAACCGGTCATAAGTCGAGGACTAAACCGGTCATACGTCGAGGACTACCCAATCGGTCGTAAGTCGAGGACTTTCCCTGCCCGGGAGCGCCACGCATGTGTGGTTCCGCCCCCTGCACCGGCCGAGGCGTAGCTGGCAAGCGGCAGAGACGGAGCAGGCCGACCACCAGCTGGCCCAGCCCAAGGGAGGTAAGGCACCCGCCGGAAAAGGGGAAAAAAATGGCGGACGAAGAAAATGGCGGACAAAAAAAATGGCGGACAGCCTTGCTTGGCGACCCCCGTGAAATGGTCGATCGACCCCAAATGGGGTCCCGACCCACAGGTTGAGAACCACTGTGTTAGAGAACATCTGTAGCTTTTGTGATGGCTTGGATAGTAGTTGAATTTGCTTAACCAAAAGCAGCTGCTGATAGGTAAGGATAGATGCACACGCCAAGTCAACTGCATCCTCTTCCCCCTAACAGTACAGATAATCTTCGATTTATGATCACAATTGAGCCCAAAATTTCCACTGCTAAGCACGACCGTTGTTAAGTAGGGTTTGCCCCATTTTATGGCCTTTCATGCCACAGTGGTTTAATTAGCGCATTACTGCAGTTGTTAAGTTAGTAACAGGGTTGTTAAGTGAATTTGGCTTCCCCCAATGACTTTGAAGGTTGCAAAATGTGATCACATGACCCCAGGACACTGCAACCATCATAAATATGAACCAGTTGCCAAGTGTTCTAATTTTGATCTGGTGACCATGAGGATGCTGTAATGAGCATTAAGCGTGAAAAATGGTCATAAGTCACTTTTTTCAGTGCCCTTTAAACTTCCAATAATCATTAAATGAATGGTTGTAAGTTGAGGACTACCTATGTGTGGCTTACTAAGCTACTTCCTCCGAGGTTTTTTTCAATTTGCCAACCGAAATGTACAGAGAATTTGCCTTCTAGGTTATAAGGGCAAAGATGGGCTTTGGGGCTGAAACTACACTTATGGCTACTGTCCTATCCTAATCTTAATTTTTGGGCAAGCCCTTCATCTCTTACTCTCTTAGAGCATCCTCAACCATTGTTGGTTTGGGGAAACAATTGGGAAACAAAACTAGGGGTTCAAAAGAGATCTCTGTATGTCCTACCACATACAGATTCCTAAACAAGCGATTGTTTAGATGAGAAGTCCATATCAACTAAACCGACCTTGGAAGTCACTTTGTGAATGCATAAACTATTTCACTGCAGCCATCTTGCACAAGTACCCATGTCTCTCACTTCAAACCTTGCAAAATATTTCCCCTGTATCACATACACTCAACCATAACCTGTTTTTATCGAAGACAGCAAAGTACTGAATGGCAGAGCCTACAGTCAAACTACCTTTTGTGGTTCCACTGCTAGATCGTGGTGAATTGAAAGTGTAAGAGGAGGTGGCCAACTGAACAGGTTCATATAGTTCTTCAAGGTCTTCAACCTTGAACTTCTTCAAGGTTCACCTAGTTCTTGTATTGATTTGGAATCCTCAAGAGGTAAATTAGACCTAGCCCTGACCACAACTTACTTCTTGGTTAACTACAAAAATGTAGGATAGACAGCATCACCACCAGATGGATTTGTACCTGGCCGACCAACCACACTCAACCTGCAAGCCTCAAAGGAACTACATCTACATGGAGGGAAATAAGCAGTGGGGTACCCCAAAGGTTCTACCTTAGGCCCAATACTCTTCAACAATTTATAAAACGATTTAGATGAGGGGATAGAAGGGGAACTCATCCAATTGGCAGACAACACCCAGCTGGAGGGAATAACCAACACTTCAGAAGGATCTTGACGTACTTGGAACACTGGGCTCTAGCTAACAAAATGCAATTCATTCACTGGATGTAAGAGATAGGCATGGCAATATATAAAGCTTACCGTCTGATCTCTAAGCTTATCATACAGAAATTCGAGGCGTTTGTTGGCATCATCTAATTTCCTCTTGGTTTGCTATGGGAGAAAGCAGAACAGAAAATTACTGAAAATACTGTCTTATTGCACTGACAGAAGACCACAGTTGCATTTATCTGTTTTCAAGGTGTATATCCACGGAGAAAGGAATACAGTTAGAATTTTTACTTTAACCATTTTACTTTAACCATAGAAGCTACAAAGGACAACTGGCTTAGGATCAAGAAAAATAAGCTTCTTAATGCAGGCCGAATCCAAGTTCTGGATTTGCATCCTAGTAGTGGGAAGAAAAGAATACTCAGTTCTGGATCCTCTCCAGAGAAGAACTGACAGGTGGTATGTGACATGTCAACAAGTAATTCCTCTGTCTTCTCTTCTATCTAACTAACTTCCAATGGCTCTATGGACCTGCCAAACTGAATTGAACCCACTAATTTTTCTAGAGCTCTTGGTATTTCCTTGTAGGTCTCAGGATAGTGTAATGCTCAAATCTGTTATGCATGTCAACCTTTTCTAATATTTATTCTACTACTTCTTCTATAATTTCCTAACACTTCCCATCTTGGCTGGGGATGACAGGTGGCTATAGCTCAGTGGTTCTCAACCTTTTTAATGCCACAACCCCCAACCGGTCGTAAGTCGAGGACTAAACCGGTCGTAAGTCGAGGACTAAACCGGTCGTAAGTTGAGGACTACCCAACCGGTCGTAAGTCGAGGACTTTCCCTGCCTGGGAGCGCCGCGCATGCGTGGTTCCGCCCCCTGCGCCGGCCGAGGCGTAGCTGGCAAGCGGCAGAGACGGAGCAGGCCGACCACCAGCTGGCCCAGCCCAAGGAAGGTAAGGCACCCGCCGGAAAAGGGGAAAAAAATGGCGGACAGCCTTGCTTGGCGACCCCCGTGAAATGGTCGATCGACCCCAAATGGGGTCGCGACCCATAGGTTGAGAACCGCTGCTATAGCTTATCACAAACGGAGTTGGAAAAAATAGTTAAATGTTTTTCTGTGCAAAAAAAAAAAATAATAAGTAAGCTCTGAGTAAGTCAGGAGCTAACAGGACTGTGGGAGTCATCTATTTCCCATTTTAGACATAACTGTAAATGGATGCTTTGCATAGCTTTAAGTTTGCTTCCCATGGGTGCTGCTGGCAAGCACTAAATTTCATCAGAGCTTCTCAAAAGGAGAGGCTCCCTCTATGACCCACAGCATAAATCACCCAGTAGCTGCAATTCTGCAATTTCCCTGATAACCTGATTATATGAAGCATGGCGAGAGCAGAGCCAGGGGTAATAAATCAGGTCTGGTGTGACTTGTCACCTAATGATGGATGCCACAAGTTATGAATGTACGATTATGCCGTGCAAAATCCATTTTTTTAAAAAAAAAATAACAGAGCTGGCGTCTCCTGTGAAAGACATACTGGATCTGTAGCTGAAGAGAGACATCTCTGGATCAAAGCTTCAAAAGTGGTCTTTAGGATGAGGTGTTCTTCAGGAATGGGCTTTTTTGTTATCTTCTCCGTGGGCAGGGATTGCATGTGCTGGGGAGAGAAAGAAATAACTGAATAGGTTTTTTTGGGAGTTTGAGTGTCCCCAGCCTTGGTCAGTGTTGGTGGGAGTGGGCTTGGTTTGGGATCTTTGATTGGGCTGTTGTTTATGGTTAGCTTCTTTGGCGATTCCTGCCAGGGCAAGCCATTAGAATATAAAATGAGAACAAACCCCACTCCCTACTAGCACTGATAAAAGTTATCTAAATTGGTGATGAAATGTCTGCAAGAAAACAACCAAAAGCTCAGAGAGCACCACGAACTCCATAGTTCAGTGATGGCGAACCTTTTAGAGACTGAGTGCCCAAACTGCAACCCAAAACCCACTTGTGCATCGTAGAGTGCCGGGTGGGTGTGGCCAATTGGGTGGGCGTGGCTGCGGTGATAACGGCAGACTGGGTGGGACTAAAAAGTTCAATCAATCAATTCCAACTTTGCAAGATCTTTTTTTCCCCGTGAGAAGTTGAAATTGACTGATTGAACTTTTTTTTTTTTTTTGCACATGGCGGCGGAGGCCTAAAGCGAAAAGGTTTTATAAAACCCAGCTGAAGGTCTAGGACTGGGGCGACGGCGCGCATGCCCACAGAGAGGGCTCTGAGTGCCGCCTCTGGCACCCGTGCCATAGGTTCGCCACCACTGCCATAGTTCAATCCAATAAATATTCTTTTCTATAAGTTCATACCATAGTCAAAGTTCAGTCATAAACAAAATTCATATCATAGTTCTTTTCACAGAAAAACTTCAAATTTCCACCCCGGGCTCCTTCACCAGTGGAATTTCCTGAAAATCTTCCTGCAGACACTATTTCAGAATTCCTCCCTAGCAGACCCCTCCCCATGTATGTCCCAAAGGTGCTTTTCAAAAATACAACCGGAAAGCATTTTTGAAAAGCACCTTTGGGACAATCATGACCTGGATGACGGAGAATCTCCACAGACATGCCCCATCTATGGTGCCTTCAGCCTCTGGAGTTCTTTGCAATGTTCCAAGGAAGACTCTTCTAGTGGAAAGGCTGCGCCCACACCTATTAGGCAAGTAAGATTTTGGTGACCTCCAAGCACAATCGCTGGCCTATCGAGACAACCTTACCTGCATGGTGTTCCCTGTTGGTGCTCCAGGTGCTCCTTCCATGCTAGACGCCGATACGGGAGTCATGATTGTCTGGACCCCTGGCGGAACATTCTGGAAGGGGTTCTGTAAGCCTGGCTGGCCCGGAGGCAGATGGGAAGGCTGGAAGGGAACCTGAGGCGGAGGTGGGGCTGATGTGGGAGGCTGCTGCTGCTGCAGCTGCGCTTGTTGGTCTGACAAAGGAGTCATGATGGGGGCCATGATGGGAACAGGAGGCAAGAAGGTATCAGGCACCTATGAGGAAAACAAAGAACGAACGAATGGTTGACTAATTAAAATGGCTGGCTGATAGTTGACCAATTAAAAATCGACACCACCTCTCTCCCATGTGTCCAGCTCCCATCTTTGCCATCTTTTTTCCTTCATTTTATCTGTTAGTGTTTTTTAATCTGCTGGGTTTTTATAATGGATGATGTTTTTTTAGGTGTTTTTAGCTGTTTTTTCAGTGTTTTTAGGTTGTAAGCCACCCAGAGTTGTTGGATGTGAGAGGCAAATAAAATTTATAAATAAATAAATGAACGAGTCAAACATTGCAAAAAGAAAAAGATGATGGAACTGTGTCAGTTGAAGCAATGATGGGAAATACGTCATCATTAATACCCTGAGTAAAATAATCTTAGCAGGTGGTATCAACTGACTGGTTTAAAAGTATCCATGAAAATTAACTATTATTAAGAGCTTAGCAAAAGGCCTTTTAAACATGTAAGACAATTAAGTAGAAAGAGAGCCAACTGTTTCCAATCAAAACTGCCATTAAAAAAAAGTTTTGTTGCATATCATAAAATCGCACCCATAAAAATCTGGATCTTTATACATCCTTGTCAACTTAATAAAAATCCTATCTTTCTTCCCCTCAATCTTGGAGGACTCAAATTTTATCACCTTGCAATTCTTTTACAAATGATGTCTGAAAATTAAGGGTGGGCAATGTTTTCTGAGCCAAGGGACACAGCTGTCCTCTGAGTGGCATTCAAGGCTGTAGGGTTTAAAAAATTGTGGATGAGAACAGGGCAATCCCATTTAATTTACATTCAGTTAAGATTAAATGTGATTACTATTACTCTCCATCACATATATTTTTTTATTAATTTTCTATTTCTGTCATATTCAAAACCACAATTCTGTAATAATGTTTTCAGGATCCCTGCAACAGTAAGTTGTATATTTCCGCTGTTTAAGGGGAACAATGACATGTTCATCATTTCTGTGGTGCTTTTTTTTTTTTTTTTTTTTTTTTTTTTTTTTTTTTTTTTTTTTTTTTTTTTTTTTTTTTTTTTTTTTTTTTTTTTTTTTTTTTTTTTTTTTTTTTGCAGGTCTGTGTGTCTCTGCATTTATTAACGCAGTATATGGAATTCTGGGAGTTGAAGTCCACATGCCTTAAAATTGTCAAGGTTGAGAAACACTGATTTAACGCTTTCCAAAACAACTCTTTTTATCAGTTAGGAAAACAGAGAAAACCCATGAATGGTCCAATCTGCATGCTGTTCCGAACAAATATTATGTTTTGGGCCAGACAGAAGAAATACAATTTCCGTGACTCTGTTAAACCAAAAATAAATTCTGGTGTATTATTTTCCCAAGGGAGGACATAGAAGGAGAATAAGAGGAAGCTTGTAGATGTCATGTTTGAAGAAAGCACCATCCTGCCTGCAGGGTTAAATCTTGGTCAAGCATTATTTGTAAGCCAGACCGGGGTTTGTCGGTTCATACTTGTGTAGCTAACCTTTTTCTTCTTCGCAGCTCTGCTTAGAGCAGGAGGATCATTCCAGCCATTTTGAGGACCTGCAAGAAGAACAAACAGTCAGAGGCAAATCTGGAAAATCTGAGTGGCAAAAAGAAAGACCTGCCATATTCTAGACCAGGGGTAGGCAACCTTGGCTCTTTTATGACTCGTGGACTTCAACTCCCAGAATTCCCGAGCCAGCCATGCTGAGGGGAAAGGGAGAGTTTCCAAGCTGAGCCATGTTGGCTCAGGAATTCTGGGAGTTGAAGTCCACGAGTCCTAAAAGAGCCAAGGTTGCCTACCTCTGGTCTAGACAAAGTTCACCAATTCATCAAATCTAGAAATGTCACAGGAAGATGAACCTTTCCTATTTGAAAACATTGACGTATTTAATGAATCTAAGAAGCCTGGAGCTTAACTCCTTCCTCCTAACCTTCAACGTAAACCAAACTCTATTACACTGCTCTGCAACTATGTATATTTTGCCTCCTATAACTTCTCCTCTCCTCTTGTCCACATGTACAGGTAGTTCTCAACTTACAACAGTTCATTTAGTGACTGTCCAAAAATTACGACCGCACTAAAAAAAAAAGACTTATGCCCATTTTTCACACTTACAACCGCTGCAGCACCCCCATAGTCATGTGATCAAAATTCAGTTGCTTGGCAACCGGCTCACAGACGGTTGCAGCGTCCCCGGGGTCATGTGATCCCCGTTTGCAACCTTCTGACAAGCAAAGTCAATGGGGAAGCCAGATTCAGTTAACAACCATGTTACTAACTTAACAACTGCAGTGTTTCGCTTAACAAGTGTGGCAAGGAAGATCTTAAAATGAGGCAAAATTCACTCAACAAATGTCTCACTTAGCAACAGAAATTTTGGGCTCAATTGTGGTCATAAGTCAAGGACTACCCGTAGTTTGGAAACATCTTGAGGTAGAGATTTGGAATTTCTGCTTAGCTGATTTCTAAAATATGATATATCTTAATAGTAACATAAAATGTTTCTGTTCCTGTTGCCTCTACATCAAGCTGGTACTGGCTTATAAATCAGCAGACTGATATAATTGCTCTAAATGCATATACTATCACATCATTGTGATCATTTATTGCTATTCGTTTCTTATTTTCCAGTTAAGTGAATTGAGATTTGTTTTGACAGATGAGAATAGAGGACAAGTCTTTGGAACAGCCTTTTCTAATCTGGTGCCCCTTCAGATGTATCAGAATACAAATCTCATAATTTTTAGCAAGCAAGCCAACTTTAGCATCTGCAATCCTGGCACATCTAGAATGCATATTGGAGCAACTCAACTTGAATACTGAATTAAGAGCCAGCTGTTTGGATAAACATCACTATTCGCTTCTATGGCTCTGTGTATTCCATACAATAAATGTTTCAACTCTAGAGGGGAATCTGTATCCTAGATCTTCTAAGATTTGACTAGTTATGCAATGGGTACAATCATTATTAATTACAATGAACTGGACCTGTAATATAGTAAATTTTTCTTAATACCTAGTTTGAATCTGTTCTATGGTTTAACAGATACTGGGAAAAAGCAAAATAATTTTATATCTGCCCTGTCTCATCATGGAAATTTCTCCTCTCTCCTCACCTTGAAAAGGCTATCCTTCTTTCACTGCGCTAATACTCCAAGCCATAAATCCATAGCAACACAACATAACAGGAAAAAGTTCAGATTAAAGCAGAAAGATCAGAAAATCAGTGTCTGCCCATTTATAATGTACAGTTTCTGTGCACATTGAACTATCAGCAAATATAGCTACTCAAGTTGCTAATCATCTTAACTGGTAACAAAAGAAGGATTCTGCATACAAAAGAAGAAGGATTTTGCATACTTCTGCAAAAGAAGAAGGATTCTGCATACTAACACTTCTTAAGAAGTCCTGGGCCTCAAGTGGATTGACTTTCCACATCAGTAAACAGTTTTAATCTCAGAAACCTGGTTGGTATCATGGTTAAGGTGAAGGGTTAGGAAGAAAGTATTTAAACCTCTTAATTAGGGGTTCTTGAAACATTTCAAGCTTCAGACAGCTGGTTCCAACTTCTGTTAAATTTATATGCCCCCCATCTCACTCTGAAAAGCGACTACGGGCGGCCTATACATTTAATAAATTCCTGAAATACTTCTAATATGGTGGAGCAGCTGTTTCAAATTCCAAACAGAGGGCTTTGGGCAAAACCAAATTTCACGATGGATCACAGGAGTGACTTTGAGTCAGCTCAATTTTGGTCTTTTGCAGGCTAAAATAAAAAGGAGAGTGCTATATACACCACCTTGGCTCTGGCGGGAAAGGTGGAATATAACTCTTTTAACAAGTAAATAAATAACAGCCCTTGGGGCTTTTCTTCATTGCAGGTCAGCAGCTTACTAAATGGAACTGAAATAGGCTGGGGCAGAATCTCCAAGGTTAGACCATAAGCAGGGCTCTGCCAGATTAGATCCATGCCCATCTGGTCCAACAGTCTATTCTCATGGTGGTCAACCAACTGCACAAGGAAGCCACCAACCTCCCAGCAGATGGTCTTCAAAGGCAGTCACACTTGCCATCAAGATTAATAGCTGTTGATCTCCGTGTATTAGCCCAATACTTTTTGGAAGCTCGACAAGATGGTAGCCCAGGCTACCTTCTACATGTGCTTCAAGCTTTTAAGCCAAGTATTAATTGGCTTCTAAGCTAACTATTCTAATGTTCCGATGCTTAATGGAAACACTGTGGGACGGCTTTTTCAGCTCTAAACAAGGATCCTGAAGGAAAATGTACACATCTAAACCTAAAAAGAAACTAGGGTGGAAAATACTCTCACAAAGTCCACAGGAAAGGGACTGGTGAGAAACAGGACAACCCACGTCACATTAGGATGTGCACATGCAGATCAACTTGTAAGAGGAGAAAAAAATGTGAGCTCAAATGAAATGGGTCCCTTTGTATATACTGCAAGGGAAAGTGGCTTGCACAAGAGATCAGGCTGAGAGTCAATGTACAATCCTAAAAAAATGGGTAGATAATCCGCTGCATATAAATCTAGCTTTATTCAGGACTTGGGATGGTATAATTCTGAGCTCATTTAAATCACAGTCCATTAGGAATTGCTTCTGAGAAAGTCCAGCTGAAAACAGAGCTTCTCTGAATTGCAAAACTGTAGAAGCACATATTCCCACTGGAATTTCCTCTTATTCCCAGAATTCCATTCTAAAATAGTTTAAATGGTACCTAGAACTCAATGTTCTGTCCTTCATTCATTGCAAGGATTGTTCATATAAAAACAAAGAACACATTTATTGCACAACAGTGCTGTTTTTTTTAAAAAAAACAAGGACTTCTATGGGTTTTTTTTTACCACGAGGTTATCTGATTGTATTTTTTAAAGCTAACCAGAATTGGACAGCCTATAAATCTGTAAAGTAAATATGAGAAATGCACAGAAATGAAAATAATTACTGCTGGCCTTTGAACTGTAAATCTAGCAACATATGCCGTCAATTCAGGTAACATCTAGGTCTCCTAGGTCTACTCAGCATCAAGAAGTATCAATTCTGCTTTACAAGAATCCCAGTTTTGCCTCTGTTGCTTTTAAGAACGAGGTGGATATGGAAAAAATACTAAGAGAACATGACTAATATTTGGTCAAAATGCAGAGATGGGCCACCTGCTGGATTTAAGATGACCAAAGATTCGGTGTTCTACATTCCTCTTTTACCAACCAGCCAAAAACATAACAGAATCTCAATTTGTAGTGCGCCCAATGGAGTAGGTGAAATTGAATTTTTCCCCTCCAGCAGATATATCCATGGGACTCTGAATATATTATTCCTGGCTTTTGCATCTCTTAAACTCCCCGATTTATGTTTTTCACAACATAATGAGGGGCGAAGCTTATTTTTCTTCTTAGAATCTTTTGCTGAAAAGCCACTTCAGTTTGCTTCCTGCTTCTCTTCTCCCCCTGAAATCTGAGTGCTGGCTACTAAGGTCTGTTCTGTAACACGACTGCCTGGTTCCAAAAACCCTGTCTTGCCATCCCAAAGACAGGACATGTATGTGGTCAGCCCTTTCTCTATGACAATTTTGAATATCTTACGAGGCAAATGAGGTCATTTGAGCGCTGATAGGGCAGTGGTTAGACTGCAGACTATTTCTGCTGGCTGCCAGCATTTTGGCAGTTCGAGTCTCACTGGCTCAAAGTTGACTCATCCTTCCATCCTTCTGAGATCGGTAAAAATAATAATAATAATAATAATAATAATAATAATAATAATAATAATAATAATAATAATAATAATAATAATAATAATAAAAAAAAAAAAAGTTGGAAGGGACCTTGGAGGTCATCGAGTCCAACCCCCTGCTCAGGCAGGAAACCCTATACCATTTCAGACAAATGGCTGTCCAGTCTCTTCTTAAAAACTTCCAGTGTTGGAGCATTCACTGCTTCTGGAGGCAGGTTGTTCCACTGGTTAATTGTTCTCACTGTCAGGAAGTTTCTCCTTAGTTCTAGGTTGCTTCTCTCCTTGATTCGTTTCCATCCGTTGCTTCTTGTCCTGCCTTCCGGCGCTTTGGAGAATAGCTTGACTCTCTCTTCTTTATGGCAACCCCTGAGATACTGGAACACTGCTATCATGTCATCCCTAGTCCTTCTTTTCATTAAATTAGACATATCCAATTCCAGCGACCGTTCTTTATATGTTTTAGCCTCCAGCGCCCTAATCATCTTTGTTGCTCACTGACTCAGGGTTGACTCAGCCTTCCATCCTTTCGAGGTCGGTAAAATGAGGACCCAGATTGTTGGGGGTCAAGATGCTGACTCTGGAAACCGCTTAGAGAGGGCTGTAAAGCACTGTGAAGCGGTATATAAGTCTAAGTGCTATTGCTAAGTGCTAATCCGGCCTGGCTATTATTGCTATTATCTACAAGTGGTGGAATGAGTTTGTCCTAGATGAAAATTGTCATGGATTTTTTGGGATTCCTTATTTTAGGGGTCCACTTGAGAAACTACATATAGTCCTCGATTTACAAGCCTTCGTTTAGTGACTGTTTGAAGTTACAACGGCACTGAAAAAAAGGTGACTTACGACCTTTGCAGCATCCCCATGGTCATGTGATCCAAAGCCGCAAGCTTGGCAGCTGGCATGCATTTAGTAGGACGGCTGCCAGCATCCCGGGGTCACGTGATCGCCAGGTGCGACCTTCCCAGTTGGCTTCGAACAAGCAAAGTCAATGGGAGAAGCCAGTTGTGCTTAAGGACCATGTCATTCCCCTTAACACCTGCAGCGCTTCACTTAACTGTGACAAAAAAGGGCGTAACATTGGACATGACTCATTTTCCTAGATTTGTCCAGACTGAAATATTTTAAATCAAATTTTAGTATATCTCTTTCAACCTTTTATGTTAATTCGCCGCTTCCACCTGTAAGGGAATGGGGATATAATCCCCTCCCTTCACTTCTGGAGGTTTTCTTGCTTTGGGGATCTTTTCAAGGATTTAAATAGCAGATAGAAGAAAGAAGATCAATACTCTCATCAAGTCCAAGCACGCTGTTCACCGATAAGTTTAAGTTCATGCTCGGCTTATTTGAAGAATCATTCGAATGAACAATTTTTATCAATATGGGGAAGATGGATTGTTTATATTCAAAAGAAACATAAAGTGGTAGAATACAGGTTAGGTTTTTAACTTCGCAAGTTGGTTTATTTCTACTATTTTTTCTTGTAGATTAAGATACTTTGTAGAGCTAGAGATATTAGTATTTGTTTCATATGAATATTATCCTGGGATTAGGTTTGGGGAGTCCGGGGGGTGGGTGGGGGATTATTGTTATTGTGTACATTTATGATGTTTTTTATGATTGAAAAATAAATAAAATTTCTTTAAAAAAAAAAAAAAGTTTAAGTTCATGCTCTGGGACTTTAGCTGCAAGCAGCTTGAGCTAGACGCTGATCTCACACTAGCCTTTCTCCTGTCAGGTTCAGAGGGCTTTCCCCGGATCAAACGAAGCGATTGCCATCGTTTCGTGATCGATGGGGCACCCCTCCTTCAGTCACCTCTCCGGGGCAACTTTGGACCCATCTAAGGTCCCTCAAGCAGGAAGAAACTAGCCATGGGGAGCAGAGGTCTGCTCCTGCGCGGCCACGCACTGCAGATGCAAAAACCGGAAGCCCGGACATGACTCATTTAACAATCGCCTTGATTAGCAACAGAAATTCTTGTCCTAACTGGGGTTGTAGGTCAAGGACTGCGCGTATTAGATAATTTCTGTGAAACTCTTTCATTTGCGTAAATTACACAAATAATTCCATCTTGGACAGCACAATCTCTATTTTTTTTTTATAAATACCATACATATTTTCCAAGCTAGGAGTACTAGTCTAAAGACTGCATTTCTGTCTCTTTGGTTCACCCTGCTCATAACAGATAGCTGAATTTTCTTGCGGGTACAAAAGCTGCTTTACTCATTATAGTATTCACTGGACATTAAACATTTTGTAGAAAGATTATTAAGAATTTCGATAAAACTGTTTAAGAACAGAACTTTGATTGGAAAACCCAGATTAGTTACTTTTATTTTATTATCATTTTTATTTAAAAAATGTTATTAGATGCTAAATTTCATTGAAATTTACTCAATTTAATTCACTCCGAATCTGAAATCACACGATCGCATGCAATGCTAGATTCAAACTTGTTAGAAACTTTTGCTGAGTTTCATGTATTTTACAAGATAATTCACCTTGCAGGAAACTGGCTGGATCTTGTAAAGAATGATAGTCTGCGGGTAAAATACAAAACAACTTAGGAGATATTTTAAACTATATATTATGAACGAGTATTCCATTTTTTTCTTTTTTTTTAAGGCTTTGTACTTGCAGATGCAGTAAACCCCATGAAAGCAACATTCGTACCGTTCTCCACATTCAGCCCCGGAATTTCATCAAATATGCAATGAATATATATAATGGTCTAAGCCAGGGGTAGGCAACCTTGGCTCTTTTATGACTCGTGGACTTCAACTCCCAGAATTCCTGAGCCAGCATAGCTGGCTCAGGAATTCTGGGAGTTGAAGTCCACGAGTCATAAAAGAGCCAAGGTTGCCTACCCCTGCTCTAAGCCATACCGAGGATTCCTTATTTGTGGTTTAACATATTGTGCAAACTCGGCCACTGGAGATTAGAAAGCTTGGTTTATAACTCAGACTTAGTGTGAATCCATTAATTGTACCGTAGCTCAATAAAAAATATATAACAAAATTATACTGTAGTTTGTTGTGATATGCATAACTCCGTTTGCACTATATTGGTGACTTCTATTTCTTATTACTGAAATGGGAAGGGGAAGGAGTGTATGCTAAAATGAGCACGGACCTGATTGAATTTTGAAAGAACGCTGATGTAGATTTTCTCCCTGCAGGACGGCGTGGCTTCTGAAATCCTTTTAGTCTGCCGAAAAACCTGCAGCTTTACTACTGATAGTAAAATTCACGCTCCTCCCGATGTGCCCTTTGACACACTGGCTGAGGGATCATTTTTATTTTATTTGTGTCCCCCTTTATTATTTTTACAAATAACTCAAGGCGGCAGACATATCCAAAACACCTTCTTCTTCCTAGTTTCTCCACATCAATAACCTTGTGAGGTGAGTTGGGCTGAGACAGAGTGACTGGCTCAAGATTTACCCAACTGGCTTTCATGCCTAATGCAGGATTAGAACTCAGCTTCTCACTTTCCAGCCTGGTGCCCTAACAACTGAACGAAATTAGATTATACTGGTTCAAGACCAATCGGTTCCTGAAAGAAACCAAGTTGGACAAAATTATATAGTTAGATGAATGTAATAAGGTTGAACGTCAGAAAGGAAAGGAAGATATTCCTGAATAACTTTGAGGGTCATTTTGCTGATAACCATGCCTCCCTTTTCCCCCTACATTCAAGAGATGCAGCAGAGCTATGTCATCTTGGAAAACTTTGTGGAGGTATCTTTCAGATAATGTCCTTGCTGCTAATGCTCTCATTGAGAAATTTCTTGGAAAAGAAAGAACAACTTGCTCTGGACAAGGAACAACTAGTCCTGAAATCCCACACTCTGGAAGTTCTGAAGAAGTTTGTCTACACACCTCAATTCATGGTTCCCATCTAATTGGGTTGGAAGATACAAGGGCAGCAATGTAAAAATAAAATGGCATCAGTGGGACCACAGCCCACTTGCCATCCTTCACCCTTGCTGGATTCACAATGAGAAAACAACACCTGCCCTATCGTTCAATACCAATCTGATCTGCATGGTCCTGAGGAAGGACAATAAGGCGACACAATGAGCATCCCTCCAATTCTGTAATGCTAGCAGTAGACATTGGGCTCTGAAGACTTCTAAAGATCAATCCATCCAGGTCAACAAGGGGCATAGCAAATGTCCAGCTGAAAGCAGTAGATGCTATGTGGTAGGTTGGGAGACTAATAGATGGGATTAGGCCTTCTTTGATGTCTCCTAATTGCTTCATCTAAAGGTTTTTGGTCACCATATCACAAAAAAGACGTTGAGAGTTTGGAAAAAGTTCAGAGAAGAGCAGCTAAGATGATCAAAGGCCTGGAGACTAAAACATACGAAGAACGGCTGCGGGACTTGGCTTTGGCTAGTCTAAAGAAAAGAAGAAATAGGGGAAACATGATAACAGTGTTCCAGTATCTGAGGGGCTGCCACAAGGCAGAGGGGGTGAGGTTGTTCACCAGAGCACCAGATGGAAGGACGAGAAACTATGGTCGGAAACTGACCAAAGAGAGAAGCAACCTGGCATTAAGGAGAAACTAAATGTTCCTGACAGCGAGGACAATCAATCAGTGGAACAGCTTACCCCCAGAAATTGTGGGTGCTCCATCACTGGAGATTTTTTAAGAAGAGACTAGACATTCACCTGTCTGAGATGGTATAGGTTCTCCTGCTTGAGTAGGGGGCTGGACTAGACGACCTCCAAGGTCCCTTCCAGCTATTCTATTCTATTCTATTCTATTCTATTCTATTCTATTCTATTCTATTCTATTCTATCCTATCCTATTCTTCTTTAAAAAAATGAGGGAATATTAAATCACATCAGTAAAGGAACAGATCTGTTATTATGCATTAAAATGTGCCCAAGACCAAAGGGGGGAAAAGGAATAAAAGCAAGGTTAAAAAAAAGCTCATTTTTAAAAGCCACACTTTGTCTCTGTCATGCTTAACAAACTTAGAGCAGCAGATGCTTCAGTCATGCACACGTGTTCTGTTCAGCCCCTGGGGGGGGGGGAAACTGCATTGTTTAAACGGCCTTCTAAACTGCCTTGGCATTTGGGTGCAACTGGAAGGCAAACACTCCCTTATCAGTGAATATAGATTGAACATAGTGGCTCACCGGCCAAAAATAGTCCACTTGGTTGGAGTTATGACATTTAAAAAAAAAGTAAGCCAGATTTCAGAGAGGTGGGCCAATCATGACTCTGAAATTACTTAACACTATAGAATCCATCAGATCAGTGGTCCCCAGCCTTTCCAGCTTGGCGGATTGGCAGAGGCGGGAGGGGGGGAAAAGAGGGGATAGTTTTGGGTAGATACACCGCTTTTACAAACGGAACTTTGCGAGCTTCTGCGGACCGGTTCCTAGTGAGCTAAGGCCCGCACTGGGCTGCGGACTGAGGTTGAGGACTCCTGCATTAGATGACGCGGCTAAAGTGGGAGGGGCAAATTATTAAACCCTAACTCAGGGGTCTTCAAACTTGGCCCTTTTATGACTTGTGGACCTGGCTGAGGAATTCTGGGAGTTGAAGTCCACACGTCATAAAAGGGCCAAGTTTAAATACCCCTGTCCTAACTGGTTTCTCGCTAGTTTTTGGTAAATTTCTTTCTGAAAAGGGGAGAGAGAGGGTAAAAAGATACGCTGTCAAATAGATTTTTCATACCTGAAACAGCTATTGGGAAAAAAAGAGTACTCCCAAAATAATATTTAAAACTCACCCCCACCTACTTGCCCAGTATCAAATCTTTGCCCTCCAGTGTTATCTCTCAAAAAATGCAGCAGAAAACAACAGCATCCCCCCAAAAAATGGCTGAAGCCAGATGGCTTCAAGAAAGTGCATATTTTCTGCAAATTAAAAAAAAACCAGCTGCTTTGCATAAATATTTTATACAAGGAGGGGTGTTGGGTACAAGCATAAAAATAAGGTGCAGTAAGAACCCCACTCCAAGAACCCATACAGAGGTAACATCTTGGAGGTACAGAAAAGTTAAGTGCTTAGAAAAGGATATGAAGGGCCCTGCCGTCCAAGTCAGTTGTGAAGCTTGTTGCATTCTATGGCAGGAGTCTCCACACTTGCAACTTTAAGATTTGTGGACTTTAACTCCCAGAATTCCCCAGCCAGCATGGCTGGCTGAAGAATTCTGGGAGTTGAAGTCTACAAGTCTTAAAGTTGCCAAGTCTGGAGACCCTTGTTCTATGACAGGGGTCTTCAAACTTGGCCCTTTTATGACTTGTGGACTTCAACTCCCAGAATTCCTCAGCCAGGCACGCTGGCTGAGGAATTCTGGGAGTTGAAGTCCACAAGTTTTAAAGTTGCCCAAGTCTGGAGACCCTTGTTCTATGAGATCAGTTGTGGGCTGCTGGATTGACACATCTATACTGACATAGTTGTGAAACCAATCATATCGGCTGACAGCAGATGATGGTTAAAATAAAACTGTGGTTTGGCACAATGCATGGACCAGCTACTATGCCATGGTTTGGTCCACCTCTTGAGGTTGGCAAAAAAAAACCCAAAAACATTTATGTAAGTGCTCTGAATCTTTTGGAAGGAAGGATGAGAATAAACATGTCAGTAAATAAAAGAGCAGCATGCTAATGTCACAGCAAGGATTCGTGGCTGGTAAGCCACAGATTGCAAACAATAGCTAAACAATCCTGGGACAGAACAAAAATAGACCCAAGAGCCAGATTCTCTTCCAGTCTCTTGAACCAAACAGCTTATTGCTCCTACAAGCTGCTGATTCAGAGCTGCCAATTCCTTCTGACAGGCACAAACACGCTGCCTTTTGGTGAGCAACTGCACAATGCCTTTTAACTAACTGAAGTTATGGAAGCTGCTTTTCCTAAATATCCCCTAAAGCAGGGGTAGTCAACCTTGGCTCTTTTATGACTCGTGGACTTCAATTCCCAGAATTCCTGAGCCAGCTTAGCTGGCTCAGGAATTCTGGGAGTTGAAGTCCACAAGTCATAAAAGAGCCAAGGTTGACTACCCTTGTCCTAAAGGGAAAGGGGGAGTGCCAACTGCACCCCAGCTTCAGAGGGCCCCAAAAATGTATTATCTTAACTGCTCTGAACAGGATGCGAGGCAGTGTTGGATGCCAGGCGGCGTGCGAAGAGGGCAAGCCCTCTGCAATTGGTGACCCAGATGTCACGTCAGTCACAAGACAAGACCCATGCAACGTTAATAAGAAGAATATAAAAGGTGCCCTTGTCTCAACGGGAACATCCCCACATGTTCCCTTTTTTAAGAGCAGACCAGTTCTTTGGGGAGCAGCCAACTCACTGGTCGAGGTCTCCGTACCTGTTGGTCCGGGAGGCAACGCGTACGGCAGAGAAGATGCTGGAGCTCCTGGCCGGCCATGCTGGAAGGAGCCACCAGAAGGAGGGGGAGCGGAAGGAGGAGGAAGAGAAGAACTCGGATTCAAGCTTGTTGGAGAGGCCTGGGGCTGGGAGGTGTATAAGGGAGGAGGCATGGCACTGGCAGGGTTAGGGGGCATGTAAGGGGGGTTAGGGGTAGGGTACGAGGCCGAAGTAGGAGGAGCGAGAGGAGGTTGCTGCGGCTGATAAAGTGACGGTCGGAAAGAATACGGCTGGGTTGATTGACAAGCTACATTGGAGAAGAAAGAGGACAACGTTAGTAAGAAAAACACGCCGACCACTGTCTGCAATTCTTTTAGATGACAGGTTGTCCTCGACTTAACGCCCATTCTTCTAGTGACCGTTTGAAGTTACAAAGGCACTGGAAAAAGTGACTTATAATCAGTTTTCACACTTATAACCAGTGGTGGGATTCAGCCAGTTCGCACCACTTCGGTAGAACCGGTAGCTAATTTTTTATTGCCCAGGCCCAGAATGGACTTCCAGAAGCGGCATCCACACAGAGAACCGGTTGTTCACCTATTTGAATCCCACCACTGTCTACAACCGTCGCAGCTTTCCCCGTGGTCACATGATCCAAAGTCTACAGGGGTAGCCTGATTCGCTCAATGCCCGTATGATCCAGTTAACAACTGCAGGGATTCGCTTAACACCCGTGGCAGAAAGGTCCCACTTAGCAAAGGAAAATTTGGCCTCACTTGTGATCGTGAGTCGAGGGCTACCTGTGTAGATTTCTGAACAGGGTTCCTGTTTTGAGAGTTTAAAAACCACCCAAATGAAGCTTTGGGACAGAATTAAAACATCCGCATACGAACAAGGCGGAACTTGCTTTACAGATTTGTATCGGTTTAGAAAAGATATTAATCATTCAAGTGCCGGTTTTTTTCTCCTTCAAAATGCGATCATTAAAAGTTGGGATGTACTATTAGTCAGCCTAAAAGCACAAAATACTTTGCCCAGAATAGAAATTGCTAGGCTGTAAAGAATTGTTACACTAGTTATTGATTAGGTTGGGGGGGGGAGAGAAAAAAAAGGAAATCAAATGAATTCTCACTAAACTGCAGCTCTCTGACTGGAAAATCTATATTCATTTTCTTTAATGCCTCTAAGATGCCCTGGGGGAAATTAATCAACTAGAGCTGCAAATAACATAGTACAATATCCAAAACAGGACAGAAGGAGAGATCCGGGCTGAAATCCGGCTCAGTCAGAAACCACAAAGGGTGGGCCACTTGGGCAAGGCAGAGTCATTTTAACAAATCCAGCATGTGAGATTCGGAGAAGATGGCAAGCTACTTACGTTGTGGGCATGGTGGTCTTGTGTACATATTGTAATCAGGATGGGCAGGTGGATGCGATGGCATGTGGGGATTCATGTCCTTTTGCATAATAAACCCTGGAGGAGGTGGGGGATTCTCCCTCTGGGGAAGAAATGCAAGAAGGGAGCAAAAAACAGAGAAGTTAGACTTGATGGGTAGCAGCAGAAGACCTGCAGTGGAAGCGAGACGTTCTGATCTCAGCTTGCCCATTTTTTCTATCTACTATTGTGTTACGACAAGGACTTTGAATCTAAAACATTCAAATCTGATTCGCCAGGAAGCTTTATAGTCTCAAGCAGCAACATTACTGAATGCATATTGAATTGATTACTGTGTTGGCCAGGGAGGGGAAATGGATCTGTTTCAAGACTTTTATAAACAGGGACCATTTTATAAATGGGGGAGCATTTCAAGCAATCTGGGGGTTAGGAAAGGATGAGGAGACAATTCAAGATCTTCTGGGCCACAAATTAAAACCCCGGGGTGTGTGTGTGATTAGTTGATCTCCAAATTCATTGATTATCTGACATTCAGCAAGTCTCTTTAAAATAGAGCAATATCTTTTGTGGGAGACAAAAGATGGAGAAACCCAGGATAAGCTGAAAATCTGAAACCGCTTCCCAGATGGCCAAGAATTATAACAGTGTGTTTAAAAAAAAAAAGAGGAAAGAGTGCCAGGAATGTGGCATGAGGTCTACAGGGAGGAGAGCAGATTCTGCTCAAAGAGGAATAATGAATGTTATACCTGTGTCTCAGAGGGAGAAGCTGCAGGAAGGCTGGGAAGGGCAGTGGGGTTTTTGTTACTCCAGGTAGTAACAGTAGGGGCAATTCTAACCTGAATTGAACAGAGAGATACCAATCATGGAAAAAATAAAAAATAAAAATAAAAGGAAGTGAAAAGCCAAAACGTTTCAGACAGCCAGACTGCTCAGGAATGCACTAAGAAACTTTCAAATCATTTACAATAATTGGTAGAAGACCCCTATCATCCATGCAAGCAGCAATAAGGAAATAAGCGGAGAGACTAAATATACCAGCAAGCAGCTAATATTTACCAGAACAGCCAGCTCTTAAGAGCAAATATTCATGCTAAGTGTTAGAACAAGGGTCTTCAAACTTGGCCCTTTTATGACTTGTGGACTTCGACTCCCAGAATTCCTCAGCCAGGCACGCTGGCTGAGGAATTCTGGGAGTCGAAGTCCACAACTCATAAAAGGGCCAAGTTTGAAGACCCCTGTGTTAGAAGCTTATACTATCGTGTGTATTTTTCTCCACTGACAAAGGTAAGCAGCAAGTTAGAATCATCATGCTGAATAAAACCCAAAGAAAATTAGACAGAAATGTCATGCTAATGTCAAAAGAATGTGAAGCAGGTATCCTTCTATGCCAGGGGTTCTCAACCTTGGCAACTTTAAGACTTGTGGACTTCAACTCCCAGAATTCCTCAGCCAGCAAAGCTGGCTGAGGAATTCTGGGAGTTGAAGTCCACAAGTCTTAAAGTTGCCAAGGTTGAGAACCCCTGTTCTATGCTTTCTTTGGAAAGGACCGTCTGTTGTCAGAGTTTAATACAGGGCCTAACCCACAGCATTGTGATATATACAAGAAAAGGTACAGGAAAGGATAACGGCTGTTTCGTGCAAAACTCAGTAAGACAGTGGACCGTTTTATGTCCACCACAGTTGCTGGACTGGGAATCTAGGATTAAGACATGGGACAAGTGAAAAAAAAAAAAGCTCTATTTGCTTGATAAAGCTGCTAAATGAGGTTAGATAATTAAAGCAGGCAAAAGGGAAACATATGGGTGTGACTTAAGACCGAGTCCTGTGTTATGTTTCCAGGACTAAAGACAAAACTCAAATCCGTGAGGTAAAACTGTGCTCCTTTTCAGAAACAAAGCACATTTCCCTTTTTTCTGTCAGATAACATTTCCTAAAGTGCTGCAACGTTTCATATGCAGACGAATGAGGTAAAAATAGACATAATGGGACAACTGGCGAGAGTGCAGAAGCCTCATCAAAATCCAGCAGTAACTTGATTAAAATTGGTGTGATGCATTCCCATCATAGAACATAGAATAACACAGTTGGAAGGGGCCTGGAGGTCATCTAGTCCAACCCCCCCCGCTCGGGCAGGAGACCCTATATCATTTCAGACCAATGTCTGCCCAGTCTGTTCTTAAAAGCCTCCAGTGATGGAGCACCCACGACTTTTGAAGGGAAGCTGTTCCACGGGTTCCGTCTTGTGGTGGGAAGCACAAGAACCACTAGTGTTAAGCCCTAAATGAGACTTTGCGCAATTAAAGAAGAATAAAATCTAATCCCATATCCCATCTCACCCCACCTGAAAACTGGGAAAAGAGTATCCCGACCTGTTTACCTGCATGACACAACCTCCACATTCTCCATCACTGCTACACCCATTCTAGGTTCCACCTCACAGAAAACATTAAGAAGGGGCCCTGGACACCAAAGGTTGCCCACCTTACCTTTATAGACATTTATTTTGCCATGCAAATTAGTCCTTAGCAAAATAATATAGTTTGAGCTGGCCGGCATTTCTTTTGTAAGATTAAAAGTTCAGATTGTCCCTTTCTTTGTCTTTTCTCAAATTCCAGCAGCCAGATGACTCCCATCAGTGATAAATATATTCTGCTGGCTTGGTACTGTTATTAATTAGTGACCTTTAAAAACTAATTGTTGGGATTCATATGTAATTGTTGGTCCGTGGTGCTTTCTGAGCTTCTTGTTTTTTCTTGCAGATGTATCATACCAAACTAGGTAACATCCTCAGTGCTAACACTGATGATGTTACCTACTTTGGTAATGAAATGTCTGCAAAAAACCCACCAAGCTCAGAGAGCATCGAAGTTCCCACAGTTTAACCCTAACCCTACAAATATTCTTTTCAATCGGTATCATATGCAGTTGTTGGCTCTTTCTTCAGCCATGTGCTCATGAAAGCTCTTCTGAAATAAGGCTGGCTTTTGCTCTACATCAGTGTTTCTCAACCTTGACAATTTTAAGGCATGTGGACTTCAACTCCCAGAATTCCACAGCCAGCAATGCTGGCTGTGGAATTCTGGGAGTTGAAGTCCACATGCCTTAAAATTGTCAAGGTTGAGAAACACTGCTCTACATAGAGCTGCTGTAGACTGCTCTTATACCTAGCCTGCTTGAAAGAATTGTCGTCTTGTGTAACTGGAGGTTTTTGGTTCCTTGATCAAATGGTGCAACACAATTAAGAAAGTCAAGGGGGGGAGGGGTCAGAGAGAAGGGACATGGATAATCAAGGGTGGGCAGCTCCCTCGCAGGCAAAAGAATAACAGACTAACAGAGATGGAAGGGACCTTGGAGGTCTTCTAGTCCAACCCCCTGCTCAAGCAGGACACCCTATACCAGGGGTAGGCAACCTTGGCTCTTTTATGACTCGTGGACTTCAACTCCCAGAATTCCTGAGCCAGCATGGCTCAGCTTGGAAACCTCTCCCTTTCCCCTCAGCATGGCTGGCTCAGGAATTCTGGGAGTTGAAGTCCACGAGTCATAAAAGAGCCAAGGTTGCCTACCCCTGCCCTACACCATTTCAGACAAATGGTTATCCAGTCTCTCCTTGAAAACCTCCAGGGTTGAACTGGAGTTCCACTGATTAATGGTTCAGGAAATTTCTCCTTCGTTCTAATTTAATCAAAGACTAAGAGACCTACAGAGAAGCAGGTCGAGATAATCAGATAATGTTGAAGCACACTTTTTTTTTTAATTTGTGGGGATTTTAAGAAGTAAAATAGGACCTTTAATTCTTGGTAAGAGCTTAATAGCTCTACCACTTGCTATTTTGACCTCAACAGAGACTGGTGTCAAACTGCTGTTCCAAATTGATGTCTAGGTGCCAATGAGGAAAGAGAATAGGATGTGCCTCAGGAATCAATACCACCTCTAAGCCCAATTTATTGTGGGGGAACGAAGCAAAAGGAAATACCGTACTGTAGGTTTCATTCTACATATCCATAAAATGACTTTATAATCAGCTCTTGAAATGTTGATCGACAATCAACCCACAAAAACCCTCATGCTGGTGATTTGTGTCCTGAAAGAAATGAGTCATCTCCTTTTTGGTTTATGAGCCTTTTTTTTTTTTTTTTTTTTTTTTTTTTTTT